CACAATTTCTATTTTTTTCTTTATGATCCAGCATTTATACTCCTTTAATTAATTAACCAAAATGATTTTTGAACATTTAGCTAAATCTAAAAATTCAGTCTGGCTTCCTAAGAATGGCCATTCATATGTCTTAGTGGGCATTAAGTTTTAATGCAGTTTATATCAGCTCATCTTACTCTGTGAAACCTGCATTTTGTTTGAAGCAATCCACCTGTAGGTTCTGGACCAGTCTATTGCAGCAAGGAGTGAGAATGACTGATGTGGAAGTAACGTGCTACCACTAAGCAATATACAGTATAAATCCATGATGCTTATAGTGGTTTCTTATATTATCACATCCTTAGCATTTAAAGATCTAAATCTTAAAAAAGCTAGCATTTTGTATACAGTCTTACAATCAATATTATACATTAATTTTTTTTAAATGTCCATTTGTATAATCAGATGAGTATTTGGAAAATGCAGTAACTGTCAGAACCACGGTAAGTAACTTAAAATCCAGTACTTAAACTATACATACCTTCTTCAATGGGTTCATATTTTGAAATAATTTCTAAGGCAGTTGTTTCATTCGCTTCTGTTTCAAATTGTTCTCTTTTGAGGAATGCGATGAGTTCAGTGTCAGCTAGAATTTTGTGGTTTGGAGAATAAGTGCAGAAAAGTTCATGAAATTCAGTTCTGTGTACAATAGTTCGATAAATTGCCCTGAAGTCTTCTATGTTAATAGTTGGTACCTTCCGTTTGTCAACTGTTTTCTGGAGCGGGGAGAGGGGACAAAATTGAAAACAGTCATTACAAAGACATGCAAAGATTCAAAGGCAGATGAACAATAGTCTACTAAAACTTATCATAAGAGCTAAAGAGCTTCTATATGCAACTTTTAAGATTTAACCTTGTGGTTAAAAATATTTTATATGAATTAAAAAGCATTGTATGACATAATCAGCATCCAGGCAATTACTGTACACATATATAATGCAGATACAGTATTAAAGCACATTATATAATACAGCACTGAAATATAATGCAGTTTAATAAAATTCGCAGCATAAGAATTATGTCAATCCAACAGCAACTTAAACCATATTGATAATACTTTCAGTTAAATTTATGTACAATATACAGCAAACATTAATATCAAAAATGAAATAAAGATGACCAAATTATCATGAGATCCAGGCCATTCAGTATGTCATATAAGAAGCACTATTAAGTTTGGAGAAAAGATACTGTATGTACCTATGATATTACATACCATTCTTAACAAACCAGAATGTTTAATTTGGACAAATTATTCACACATGCAGAATTCTTAAAACATAAGCTTGTTTTCATAAATAGAGCTCACAAAGTGCTAGCATATTGATTAATTTCAGTGTTTGAATATAAAAAGCTACTAGAAAAATCAAAAGAGTGAAAGAACCTGAGCAGAATACAGTTTGTTACTATTTCTGGCATGTACATTTTTCCTCAGGCTTGACAGTGTTATCTATCCATTAAAAATTTCTACATAAAATATGTATTTGTGCATACAAAATGTAGATGTTTCTAACAGTGTAGCTTGTGTTGTTCTTAGAAGTTGCCAAATTAAAGAGAAACTTTGGGAATTTACTGGGAAAATCATGTGCAAAGATCATAAATAAATATCATTCCATTGCCCCACCAATTGTCCCTGCAGGCTAAGCAAAATCCATAATTATCGAACTCTTTAGACTGAGACTACCAAGAAGGATAGATTTTAGCATCTAATAGCATGGCACTAACAGCAGTTAACAGCCTGCCCTTCCCCACCAAGAATTTCCGTTAAGTGCCCTACTTGGCCTCTGGCTGCTGTTTGGTGAAGATTTTTGTTTACTACTAGACTGGTTTGGAAGAAACACCCTAAAGAGCAAAGGACTAATGTTACATTATCAGGGTCTTCTTACACAGTATAGTTCCTAGTAACAGATGTCTGAAAGAGTACAACCATAAAAGCAAAAATATATTAGATTACCAAAACCAGAACAAATGTAAGTCTCATGGGGAGCTCTAACTAAGCAATTTTACAAATCAGTATTTAAGTATTTCCTTGGAGTTTATTTAAGAGAAATTTAATGATCATTGTTAACTAAAATCACCAGCAAGAAATAATTCAATACAAACACTAATAATACATTTTCATTATTGCTTGAGAAATCCTAAGTCTAAGGTTGCTATCTTCAATCTATTTTCAATGTCCTTAAGAATATGCAAATTTATCCGTATCTGCAAAACAGAAAAAGAAAATATCTACTCATTTTGGAACTAAGGTAGTCTATCAGGACTCAGGAGACCTTTACTTGGTTATTGGCACAAAGTGAAGTTGGGCAAAAAATTAAATTTTCTATCTCAGTTTCTCATTACTGAAATGCAGACAATACTACTACTCAGCGGCACTTTGAAATTAGTGTTATAGGGATCATGTAAATATAAAAAAGATCATTCTAAGTTTTTGTTGGGAGATCTATATATTTTTTTTTTTTTTTAAAATCAATGCATATCAACTCTTTGCTATTCAGGAAAAAAAGTATTTTGACAAAAACTTTGCCTTTGAGATAAAGTATATGAAAATGCACTATTCCTTTAAAAACTTAATTTTCCTAGTTCTGATATTTTCAGAAGGAGCATTACAGAAAACAAACTATAATAGAATAAACAAAACAAAAAAGTAGGTTCTTTAAAAACTATGTGTATGGATTTTAGTCATATATAACCATGCGATTAACTATCGATGTATAGTTAGTGAGAATGATGGTGGTAAGATATCCTTTCAAATTACTTATGATTTTTACATACTATTATACTAATGAACAATTTTAGACAAGAAACAATCAATCAGAATACTCAAGTCTCCCTCAAAAAGCGAAGAATGGTTAGCAGCGCTGTTAAGAATACCTAGATCAGACTGCTGAGTATAATATATTGCTAAACATAGCTAGATCAGACCTGTTCTGTGCAGGTCAGTTCCTCAAAAAACTATTCTCTTCTATATTCAAAACTGATCATCTCTCTAAAATTTCTCTCTGAAAGCAAAGTCAGTGGAAAATATAGAAAACGATAAAGAGTTTCAAGTTCTCGTGAGATTCTCAAGACTGGCAGTTCTCTCTGTGCAGCGCAAGAGGTTGAAAAAGTCACAGACAGCAGCCCTCACATTTAAAAAGGACTGAGCTCACACAACTATTTTTACTTCGGTAAAAGAAGGCAGAGAACAAGGAGAGAGAAACAAGACAGAATGGGGAAATACTAATGTTTTCCTCTGCAGCCTGCCTATCAGCATGACATGATCTAAGCGTTTCTGACTTTCCATAGCTTAATCTCCTCTACTAAACCTGTACAAGATTAGCTAACTGGTTAAAATTTCTCAAGGAAGGCAAATACATAGCCACATAGCTTCATTTCTTTAGGAAAACAGTTTAAATACATACATACATATATACACACACACACACACACCCCTATTTTTGGTAAAAATGAGTGAGAAATAAAAATCATACATCTTCCTTTGAATAATTACAAAAGGAGACTTGAAGAACACAAAATCCCAGAATGCCCAAAGGCACTATATTTTGTAATGTTTGCTCACTGGGCTTACATCCACCTGATGGTAGTTTGCTAGCCTACACTAAATTAACTTAGAAAATCTAATTTCTAGTTGTACAATGTAGCCTACCTAGAAATATCTGAAAAAGTTGCCAGATCTCAAGACCTACCACAGGGGCTGGAATGGCATTCCCATGCCTCCAGGCATGCCTCATGATTATATCGCAACAGTGCAAAACTGAATTAAAAAGACTCACTAGGTTCATGTTGACTCCAAGGAGAAGCAAATCAGACATTGCCATATTGTATTGCTGGCAGCAGGACGGTTAAGAAAGGTAGTGAAGTTAGGAAGTCACTCAAATAGCTCTAAATGGCATCAGACAAGACTCATTAGCTTGCTCGTAATATCAGCAGCAGGAAGGAGGCAGACACAGCTGCATGGGATGAAGCCAGAAAATCTTCAATTTTCTCAAGTGAAGCCTCGTTACAAAAAGGTTGGGAATCAAGGCCTGAATATTTTCCATCATCATACACTGTTCTGATAGGCTAAAGTGATGGTGTTAATGCAACCGCTCAGTTACCTGTTTTACACAGAAATAAAAGACCTGGATGAGGCACATTGACTGCTGATTTTTCACAACCTACTAGAATGAGATTGCAGGTTCTAAAAACCTGCAATTAAAAAAACTGCAAATATAAGGTCTTTGTGCAACTGGCCTTCTAAATATATTAAATTGATTAATTTCTATATTCCTCACCTTAAAAACATGTTTTACATGAATGAAATCAAAAGCGATTTGGAGTTTATCCAGCAGCTTCATCGTACTGTCTAAATCAATCTTCCCGTTTCTGAACTCATGCTGAATGATGGACAAAAACCACGTGCGAGAGAGATCAGGCTAAGGAAACTTCTGACCCAGCTCAGTGCCTTTTAAAATGGGCAGTGGGAAAAAAACCTAAAAAGCTTGCACTTTTTTTCCCTTCTCATACCCTTGAACCTCCTTGTCTTCTGATTTCTGCTAACAGAGCAGGCTCTGGGGTGCACAGAAAAGCAGGTTTGCCCCCTGCCCGGAGCCTCTGAGGGCAAAGGTGGCAAAACAGGGAAAGGTGAAGGGAGGGCGTAAAGGAAAAACGAGGGCAGCCAGGGGTGAAGAAGGGCATGCAGAGGAAGGAGGGAAGTGCGGAGGGCTGGCCGGGCAGGCCGAGCGTGGATGGAGGAGCTGCGGGCGCAGCAGCCCATAACGAGCAGCAAGGAGGCAAGGGGGCAGCAGTGTCCGGCCCCATATCCTCCTGGCCAGGCTCCTCTGCCCCTTTCCTGGCCCTGTGCTCCCAGGCACAGGGGCTGCCCGTGGGCCTCGGGGCAGGCAGGCATGAGGCCCTGGCAGCACACGGTGGAGGAAAGCCGAGGAGGAGGAGGAGGAGGAGGATATCTGTTCTCTTCCATGGCGGCTCCGCATCACCTGCTCCGGTCCCCTCACTGCGGTGGCGTCGGCAGCGCGTGGTGGGACATCACCTCGGCTCCCTCCGGTTCCC